TGGGGCGGTTGGACGAGGCCGTTGAGGCCCTGGAGCGCTCCATTTTGCTTTTGGAAGGCGAAACCGGGTCGGGTCAGGCCATGGCCCAGTTTTCCGGGTACATGCAACTTGGAGACACTTGTTCCATGATTGGACAGTTGGATAGGTCCATTTCGTGTTACGAGTCGGGTCTGAAGATCCAAATGGACGTTCTGGGTGAATCCGACCCGAGAGTTGCTGAAACTTGTAGGTAAAGAAACTCTCAAGTCTCACCTTAATACCTTATTATCCACCATGATCATCTCATTGCTTTTACTATGGCCCACATGTTATTCTAACAGCTTGTACTTGACCAATGTATAATGATTAATAATATCGCATGTCAAGGGAAATGCATTTTACATAAATAATTTTCCGTACGAATGCCCCCATAATAAGATAATGCTCTCTTTTAATATTTAGGAATGAAAAAAAAAATGATACAAATGGTGATTGACTTTGTGTGAGAGAAAATAAACATGGACGAACAAAGAAATTGTCGGCGGAGACATTAGATCACGAGGAAGTGGTAACTTTTCTTTTGGCTACAAGAAAAAAAATTGGTTATATTAGTGCATATTTGGTATGAGTTATTTTTAAAGAAATAATCATTTATTTTCTAAAGCTTTCTCTGATATAATAATAAACCAATATATTTTTAAAATAAGTTGGTTTAAATTAGATTATAAGAAGAACTACCGGAAATTATTAGGTAGGGATAAATGATTTAAAGCCTTTATCTTATGGGCATCACATATCTATCACTCATGTGCTGGACCCGGTTTTGTTAAACATCTAGTTATTGGCCACACAGTGCCTTTGGAATCTACTGTGAATTTGTGCATGTCGGTTTCAGGATCTAAAGCATTCAACTAAGCTGAAGCATCTTGGAAGTAAGCTATGAATGTGATGGTCCATGTTGAACATTTAAGAATGTGTTGGATTTTCTATTAAAAAATTAGTTTTAAAAAGAAAATAGACACTTGAGCCAAACTTATGTCTTACTAGTTACTAGTTACTATATGGAGCACTGCTCCAGATGACTTACACTTTTGAGTTAGGACCACAAAATAAAAGAGAGTGAAAAAACATATCCTAGCCTTCCGGTTATATTTGTTTTTTTGTTTTGGAAATAACTTAAAAGTTAATAATTTTTCGATAAATGTCAAGTGGTGTGGAATTATTTCAGAAAACAGTTTTTAAAATAAAAAAATGTGAAGAAAACCAACTTGACCCTTATCCCCTCACCATATAACAAAGTGCTCTCTCTCTCTCTCTCTCTCTCTCTCTCTCTCTCTCTTTTTCTTTCTTTTTTTGCGGCATATACAAAAAGCTCCTTTCTTTTGTACTTGAAGAAGCAGCAGAAAACTGCTGCATCCTTGAACATGTACTATCAGCCATCATCTGAGCAACTAGTTGATAAATTGAATGAATAGGTCTAAGTTTAAAATCACCAGAGGAAGTATATAATAAGGGAGAATGTCTGAATGCAATTGTTTAATCTACTTTCCTGACTCTGTTGGGATGAAGTAAATTGGACTGTTTTACTGAGAATAATGAATTCAATTAAGAGAGTGAACTTTACTGTAAATAACTCAATTTTTTTTATGATTTTACTTGGCACTCAGTTGATAGCACCTTAAATTAGACAGCCTGTAAGAGTCTCTATAAGTTTAAAATAGTGTTTTCTTCAGATGTGAAAGTCTAGTTATCTGTTTGCAGGTGAAACTCTTGGAAATAGTATGTTCTTTCTATAATTTACTAGCTATTCTTTATGATTATATATTGTCAATATCATGTCTAGTTAATAGGTCCAAGACACTTATGTAAGATGGTGCTGAAAATTTTCCTAAATTATTGCTTTCCATGAAGGGCAGGTACCTAGCTGAAGCTCATGTTCAAGCCATGCAATTCGATCAGGCAGAGAAATTCTGCAAAAAGACCCTAGAAATTCACAGGGAGCATTGCTCTCCTGCTTCCCTCACCGAAGCAGCCGACAGGCGTCTAATGGCCCTTATATTCGAGGCCAAGGGAGATTTTGAACCAGCACTTGAGCAACTTGTCCTAGCTAGCATGTCAATGATCGCCAATGCACAAGACAATGAGGTTGCAGCTATTGATGTTAGCATTGGGGACATCTACTTGTCACTATGCCGTTTTGATGAGGCTGTTTTTGCCTATCAGAAAGCTCTAACAGTGTTCAAATCCACCAAAGGTGAAAGCCACAGTTCTGTGGCATTAGTGTACATTCGCCTCGCAGATCTTTACTACAGGACAGGGAAATTAAGAGAGTCAAAATCCTATTGTGAAAATGCCTTGAGAATATACAGTAAGCCTGCGGCTGGAACAACCGCCATGTACTTATAGAAAAAAGGAAGTGTATATATCATGAACCTAAGCCGATTGCTCGTCATGTCAATGCTCCTCGTGGCCCAGACATTTTGGTCTTAGTCCAGAAAGTGATTGGTCCATTAATCACTTCAAAATTTTGGAGTTCAGGCCCACCCAAAATATGGACGTCGCATTCTCGTGGTAAATATTTACTCATCGTATTTTATAAAAATTTAAAAAATGTTTTTATGGAAGAAAATTAAAAGTGACATATTGTTCCACCGATAAAGGGAACGTATTACATTCGATGACTTTTCTGGAGTTACTGTGGCGAAATGAATTGTGACCAAGAAAAAATTACAAATACAATTTGAATGAAGAAAGAGAATTGTCGTCATAATTTAATTTAAAAACATAACACTTTGAGATTTTGTTAATTATTGTGTTTTATTAATAATTATATATTGCAGTGTTTTAGGTATTTATCATTGAGAAATTATGAGAATTAAGGGATTCTTGTGAAATTAGGTGATTTAGAGAGTTTTTTTGGGCATAAGTTCAATTTGACTATTAAGGAGAGTTTATGAGATTTTCTTAAACCTTCAACCTCATAAGTTCAATCCTAATAAAACTCTATAGAGAGAAAAACTTTGGAGTGCTTGTCCCTCTCCTTCTTATTATAGGCTTCCCAAATATGTAAGGATCGTCATTGTATTGTTGATTCAAAGTCGAAAGTTGAGAATCAAGATGGTGTTGATGTAAAATTTTAGTGATAGCTTAGAGGTGTTTCTTTCTTATTCTTCCTCCTTAGTTCCCTTTGGGTTAGAGAGGGAAACTAGATTCTTGGTTCTTGTTTGATTGCTTGGTTGCTTGTTGGTTGATTGCATGATTTGGAAAGATGATAGTTGAATTTAGTGTTTTTGAGTTTCAAGGAGAAGAATTTGGTGATTTTGAGAATGATTGTGGCATCTTGGATTTCTTGTGCGAAATGAGTTGTTGTTGATATATATAAATGATATCTTGTATTGCACGTTGATGGTTTTTTGATTTTCAGGTAATTCGAGCCAATTCGAGCATCTGCTTAGTGCAGAACTCATCATTATGCCAAGCACGCCTTCATGGCACTAGATGTGGCTCAAATCAAGGTGTCTCTGTCTTGTTCATGTCGAACGCAAGATTGGTGATGTTAGGCATAATGAGAGGGAATTGTTTCTAACTTAGTCACATCGGATGTAGATTGAACGACGTCAAGTATGAGATGAGAGAATTGTCTTTGCCTAAATTGATGTCAATCATCAAAGTAAACGGGTGTGAGGAGAGAGAATTGTCTCTGTCTAAAATGGGTTCAAGCGCGAGTTTTTCCATGTCAGGTGTGAGAGCCCAAGGGTTTTCTACCTCATCCATGCTGGACTCGGGTTAAATGACATTAGAATGGGTGTGGTAGAGTGTTCCTTGTCTTACTGGCACTAAGCACAAGGTGTGTAGCGTCGGGCATGATTTGCTCCATGAAAACTTGTTGTTTGAAGGATTATATGATGAACATTGATATGTTAGATGAATCTATTACATGTTGTTTAATTATAGGTGTTAAATGTTCTGTATATATTGATCTAGGATAATATGTATAGATGTTTATAATTGTTGAATTCGTTGAGGTGTGATGTTGAGAACGTTCTAGGTATTTAGGCATGATATGTTGAACATTGTTGACTTGTTGAGGTGTTGATGCTGAGAATGTTTTAGGCATTTAGGCATGTTGGTTGACTTAAGAGAATAATTGATGGTGTTTTCGAAAGTTAGATATCCCATAGTATGGATATTGGTGTGGTGTTTTATGAGCTCAACCATTGAAAACTCTGTTTGAGTAGGTGTTGTCTCTTGGAGTGGATTGTTAAGTCTTTTTTAGGTTCTTAGTCAAAGTTGAGTAATATATGAAGTTGAGAGAAAAAATCCTTAATTAATTATTGGAAAAGTGCGTGATATCACGAGGATAGTTAGCAGGCTAAATTTATAGTTGACTTGGTTAATGCATATTAATGTCATGGTAAGCTTATACCCAGTTATGTTATACCTGATAGTGATATTGAACTTTTCTAGTCTAAGTGACGACATTTAAGAATCATGTTATAAGGATTGGTATCCCAATTAGTTGTTGATCTAACAAGTGTAAAAAGGTTGATTAGTTTGATAGGATCAAATCACTTAAATTGGCCGCTTAAGTTGTAGGATATCTATGTAGTTAAATGTTTGATGACGCATTAGTTGATGTGTATACATATGATATGTTGTTCTTGGTGCGATGATATGTAAAGATGTATGTTGAATGACATTGATGCGATGAAATATAAGTTATCATATGTTGTTGAATTGCTTACTCTTATAAGGTATTGAATGTCATGTTAAAGTGATTTGTTGTGGTGCTAGGTTTTAGACCATAGTGTGATTTTGTTGTATGGTTTACATGTTGATATTGTTGGTAATATATTTTTACTCGTATGCTTGCTATATATATATATCAAATCTAACTTACTCTTGCACATTTTCCTAGTGGTTGAACTAAGATGATTATATTTCATGGGAGCAAGGCAGGGTTAAGTTGGAGGCTTGTGGAGCATTGGGAGCCATGTTGGTAATGTAGATTATTTCTACTTTTGTGTAGATGTTGTAGTGTTATTTAACCAGTAACATAAGATTACAAATATTGTTGTTAAATATAATGATTATAGTGGGTGATTATAAAAAAAAAATGTAAAATTGGGAGTTAATTATGTGCAAAAAAAAAAAAAAAGACTATTAGTATCGTATATGTTCTAAAGCACATAAAAGACTACAAATAAAACTAAAGAGAAAACTGACATAGATGAATCTAGAACATTATCTATGGAGACTAGATTTTTTTAATAATATATTTAAATAAATATTAAATTATAATTGCTAAATATATTATATTATTCATCTAACTTATGAATATTATTTTTTTTAAATCATAGAACCATTAACAATATAGAATATATATCAATTTTTAACTAATTTTTAAATATAATTATATATTCTGTTAAAAAAAAAATCAAAGAGCCAAGGAGATGGGGAGGTTCCGTGCCTGCCTTATTCGTTTGTAAGTATAAAGAGGATACATAAACGATAAAATAAAAGATTGATATTTTTTCATTGAAAATGATTTCCAAAGACAAATACATTTATATAATTTTAATCGATGTTAATCAATAGTTAATATTTTATTATTTTTAGATATTTTTTTTAAAATTTTTTACTTGTTTAGGGCACACTAGTAATCTTCATGTGATAGTCTAGGGTCTTGAGGCCGAACGAGAGTTCTGAGTCAAAAGATAAGGGAGGAGGTACCTGTAAAAGACACTTCGACGCTCAAGTTAGGATAAACATGAATATCGTTAGTAATAATAAATAAATACTAATTTTATCTTGTTTGTGTAACTATTTAGCTGATAGAGGTCACCGTTGAGGACAAGTACCATGTTTCTCGATGACCGAGATAATCGAGACAACTGAAACATAGTGATGCCCATATGAGCTTGTTAGGCCACACACATTATGGAGTCTTGGCTTCTTGACAGCCAGCGTGGTCGAGTGAGCCGATTAGTGTGGAATCTCAAGTATATCAAGGTGTGATGGTTACTCAGTAACCAAGGTTTAGAGTCTCAGCAGTCAGTGCCGAGTGAACTGATAAGTTTGAAACATCCTAAGTCTATTAACATGTTGATTCAAAATATATATCGATAACCAAGATGATCAAATAGGTTATTGTATAATGATACGTGACATTGACACATGTTGTGACACGTGGCAATCCATTCTTTTTCGATATAATTTTATTAACACTTTGACCCTTACTTTTATGTTACATAATTTTTTTTTATTTATAAAATATATATGCTTGTATATTGTCAATCAAATTTGACATAACCAAATTATCCCAAGTCTCAACTCAAGTTTTGTCAATTTTATTGGTAGCGATATGTCAAATATGAACTAACTAACTTTTTTTTTTCTTTTCAGGATTGATGTCTATTTGTGTAATCAGAATGGTCCGCTTGTTACAACTCAAATGTTGATCTGGATTTTTGCTAGAACCAACCAGAAGATATTTCGAAGGTGATCATAATGAAAACTATTTTCAGAATTTTTTTTATTGCAATTCAGGAATTAAACTCTCAACTAATTTTTATATTGATAACACGTGAATATAAAATAAAATAAAATCCCTTCAAGAAAGTTTAAGACTTAAGACAGAGTGTTGATTTTTATTTGCATAAATGGGTTTTTGAAAATTAATTTTATTTCAAATTCAAAATAATGATTTTACTTTTGCATCAATGTATGATTTTTAAAATTAATTTCGTTAAGTTTATATCCTAAGTTAGGCTCAATGCTTCAGAAAGCAAGTACCGACCAATTGCGAACTAAAAATCTAACGCACCCTGTACTCAAAATTGATGCAATTACAAGACCACCCCCATCGTCATTTAGTGGGATCACACCAAAGTAAAGGGAGTTACTATACACATCCTCTAAATTGCTATTTAAACTCCAACCTTTTTAGAAAATTGTTTTTGACAAAAATGTCTCTTATATCGAACACCTTCTCCCACAGCACAACATAAATATGTTTTTGTTATGCTGAGAGAGTATCTGGTGCCAAAATAATAATGAAATGCTGAGAGACTGTAAAAAAAAAAACGGAAGAGAGTGCCTCGAGAACTTCCAAACGTGTGTGCTATGATCTATCAGAAGGAGAGAAAAAAGATCAAGGATATGGATAATTTTTTTCAAAATACTTCTGAAAAAATAAAAATAAAATAAAATAATTTTTTTACTAATTAAAATTAATTTATTTATAAGTTAATTTATAAATTTTTTCCATATTGGTTTCTTGAAAAATCTCTTTTTTTAAACTTATAATATATAAATTAATTTTTCTTAATAATTATGATATTAGTACAAAATATTAAATTTTTATCGAGAATTGTAAATATATATAAGATAAATTATTTTTTTCCTTACATAATTTATTCTATATTCAAAGTCAGAATTCAAATCCTGAATAACTTAATTAAAAAATACAAGTTATTATTACTTGTATTAACCAATATTAATGTATATATTAGTTTTAGCTATTAAAAAAAAATTATTTCATTTTTTCTTTCTATTTTTCCCTTTTAAAAAAATTATGAAAAAATTTATTTAAACAAATACTAACTGAACCTATTTTTCCCTTTTAAAAATTATGAAAAAATTTATTTAAACAAATACTAACTGAACCTTTACTGCAATAGATATAAGAGAAGTGCGTGAGAATGAGCCTCTTGAAAAATTATTTAACAAAAGTCATAGCATGACTTACACAAGTATATACAACGTGACTTAAATAATTTTAAACATAACAAAGTCTAGCATGACTTATATATACAACCAGTTTGTACTCCTAATGGCACATAATCAAGTATTAGTACTATTATTTTTTTCTCATAATTAAAACTTTAACGAGGTAGTGTTGTGTACATTGATGAGATATTCCAAACTTGAATCTACTTGCCATTATATTCGTCAAGCCGGTCACCTGGTGAGACCATTGACTCTCTGTTTTGGGCCCAAGCTCTGACGATTTTACTTTTGAACATCACCCAAAAGGCCTTTCAATCAATGAAAACGATTGTGTGTATATAAACTCATGTCCATCCTCTTGTTTAAATAATGTTAGACTTTGTTTGCATCCCAACAGTCTGATACTACTAATAAACCTAAAGAGAGTGTACTCAACGGGTGATATAGGTTGTTGAGAGAATGTGTGAGCCTAGGAGTGTGCTCTTACTGTTGAGAGGAAATGCGTATAATATATAAGAGCACCCAAAAAAAAATGCGATCTACTTTTCCACTTGGACAATTTTCTCCTCATAGAAGGATTGGATTCCCAAATAAATGAAAGAAATTAAAGTCTTTTAGCTTAGTTCCCCGTTAGTCTAGCAAACATTTCATCCTCCAAAGCCAATGCAAAACATTATTTAATAATTTAAAATTCTTCTTTAAATAATTAACTAATATTAACTCACAAAAATAAATCCAACACAAAAATGATAAACAAAATACTTGTATATATGTGTTTTGACTCTTTTGAGGCTGTTTCTTTAGCTGATGTTTACTATAGAAGCCAAACATAATTGACTCAAACTAAAGACCTATAGTAGCAAACTAAGAAGAGTTGAAAGTTGCAAGATGGAAGGTGAGATGTGTATGTGTATGTACGTAACTTGTTGAAGTAGATGATCCAACATGACTGGCACCTAGCTCGCGAGCACCGACAACAAAGATTTTAATTAATTCCTCTTTATTTGGAAGATTCTCTTTCATATTTTGCAGTTGCGGTCTTCTGAAGTCAAAGCTAGCTTGGCTGTGAATGTGATCACAAACACGTAAGATACGTAAAATAAAACGCAACCAGTCAAGCAAAGCTAGCTAACGTTTTTGTTTTTTCTTTTCAATTTTCAAGGAAAGAAGCCACTGAAAGGAACATTCAAGAAATTAACATGTTATAGCGCTATATGTTAAGACATTTTACACTCCTTACTTTGAATTCTCTCAAAGTACAATGTGGAGAACTAAGTTATGATCTCTTAAACGTTATATTATATTTTTATAATCATGTCTAAATAAGGAGAACTAAGTTTTATCTCTTAATAGCAAGGAGTCTATTTCGAAACTTTCTAGATAAAAAAAAATGTGATTAGAAAGAAAAAATTCAATTAAAAATGATTAGTGATAGATATTTTGAAGTAATAATATAATGATTTTTTTTTTATCAATGATGTATAGTAGAGAATCGGGTAGAGAAAAAATTAAAGGAAGAAATAAAAGATATGAAGAAGGAAAGAAAGAAAATATGATTTTATTCAAAAAAATATATATATATTAAGGAGATAAAAGGGGACCAAAAAAAATAAAATTAAAAAATTCAGGTGTTCGTAATTATGATGTTATGTACTTAGCTCGTTCCAGTGTAGTTGGAATTGGGTCTAGCCACGTAGGAATTCTTTCAGCTGGATGAGTGCTTGGTCTTATTCCAATTAATTGTCTAGACAGGAGAAAACCTAATTGGATTAGCAGCATTTAGCGCGTGTTAGGTCCACTGTCCCAACAGTGAGAGTGAGACAAAAGTCAGAAAATGTTGTTATTTTATTTTCATTTTAACATTACCGTCATCCAAAATCTGTCTTTAGTGGCCGCCTATGCATCTTCCTTGCACTTAACTTTGAAACCAAACATTCAAACAACAAGCTATTTTTCTGCTGCTCTTATTGTGCAACACTTTTTACATCTTCTATATATATACACGCTTGATTACCGAGTCAAGTAGACAACAATAACATCTTTTGAAGATATAATGGGTTTCCATGTTGAGGCACAGGCGAGGATGCACCAACCTTGCGCAGCTTGCAGGATGTTACGCCGTAGATGTGACAATAACTGCCTACTTGCTCCATATTTCCCGACTCAGGAGCTTCACAAATTTGTTGGGGTGCATAAAGTGTTCGGTGCTAGCAACGTTATCAAAATGATTCAGGTGGGATAGACCTAAATATTAAATATAGTTGAGTATACTATATATATCAAATTATATACCCTATGCACCCATGCATTTGGTAGTAACCAAAGATTTGTCAAATTACAAAGATATTTTAATTAAAATCTTCCATACTGTCCTACAAGACGGCTTGCTTTTGTCCATTTTTTTTTGTTATATTAAGGAAATAAAAGAAAAACAAACAACGAAACTCGCACAGAATCAATATGTTTACTGTTTCCCTGATTATATTGTGATTAAGTAATTGTAACGTTCAAGTTAATTTCTAATAACACGTACGTTGTTGTTGTTGTAGATGGTTGAGGAAAGAAAGAGAGAGGACGCTGTGAAAGCCATGGTTTACGAGGCGACAGCAAGGCTTAGAGACCCAGTTTATGGCAGTGCTGGGTCTATTTACCAGTTGCAAAAGATGATTCAGGAACTGAAAGCACAACTAGAGTCGATGAAAACTCAGGTATCAGAGCTGCGACAACAAAAAGAACTGTTGTTAAGTATTCATAACAACAATGTTCATAGCCACAATGATCCTTTATTCACCGACAATGACCCAATCTTTGATGGTTACTTTGATCAACTCATGGACTCAGATCCATTTGATTTTCCTGTACAAGTTGGCTGGGGATGTAGCAATACAAATAATATGTCAATGCCTTCCTGCTAGAACACTAGCTGATGTACACGTGCGTCCCTGTGTGTAATTTTTTTTTAACAAAATTACTTTGTTAACTATGAATTTTAATTCGGTGCGTATGTTAATTGAATACTACTCCAATTCTTCAATTATAAATATTAAATAAATAAACCTTATCATTTTTAACCCTATTTATGAAAATAGTAAACCATACAAATATTTAATATAAGATTATTTTCCTGTATTATATTATTTATTATTTTGACTAACTTGAGTTCATATTGTGGTGAGAGACTGATCATATATCAACTAAGTATTTAGGAATGAAATCTTAAGTCTTACAAATACAAAAAATTTAAACTGAAAAAATTTAAACTGAAAAATGATACTCATTTATTTGATATTTGTCAAACTTTAATGAAAAATTAATCTCTATATTCAATAGAAAAAAACTGTTTGTTAATAAAAGAAAAATAATAAATAAAAAATAAGGATACTTATACATCTTTGAGCCTAAATATTACCAACGTTATATTAAACGAACAATGACAGTAAAGAAAAGTATAAAAGGCATTCTGTAAAAAAAAAATTTATAAAAAGCATCATTCCATTCTTTGTAAACAGGACAAAATAATAATAGCTTATTACAAAGTGACCTTAATTTATTTGTTTAAAATTATAACATTAAGAAAGGAAAATATTTTTTTTTATACAATATACCTTTCTAACTCTCTCGTTCTACTTTAAAAAAAAAAAAAAAACGATTTCTCACACGGCCATGTTATCATATATGATTGAATAAAAAAATTATTCCCCTTATTAGTTATTAGTATTACGTTAAAACATTAATGATAACTCAATTACTATATTTTTAATTAAGTCTTAATTTTTAAAATACAATAAAAAAATAATTTTCTCATGGCTTATAATTTCACTATTTTTTATGGTACAAATTATCAATCATTTTTATTTTTATGCTATATTTTATATTAAAATTTTCTTTTACAATCTGATTTATATAGTTAAAATATATCTCAAATTTTAGCTACATTCGTTTTATTTCTTTCAAATATAAATTGCCTACAATTTAATATCAACCTTCTATTTTTCTTAAAAAATGTTCTTTGTTTTCCTTCTAAGAAGAGTTAGTGTGAGAAAAAAAAAAACTATAATGTTATTTGTTAATAAAAATATGAAATTATGAAGGAGAAAAATATAATTTATCTTTGACTAATTATGTAGTTGTTGATTTGAATTTCAAGTTTCGACTGTATTAGAGACGTTGATCTCACAAGAAAACAGCAATATCTACGGAAATTCATAGAAAGAGCCGATGTTATATTTTTGACTCCTTTCACCCCTAACATTATATGGAGCTAATTAATGAATAAATGACAGTTCAACTGCTAATTAATTAAGGTGAATCCTATATTTTTTTATCAGTAAAAATATTTATTTACCAAATAATAGCTATATATATAGGCAGGAGTGCCATATATATATATATACATATAGCCAGAGGCCAGAGCCACCACATGACAAATTACAAAACGAAAAACATTTGCTCCCACATACACCCATAAAATAATCCTCACCCCAGCCAAGGTGAATATCCTATATGAAATGCTAAAGACAATAATATTGGAATTAATCAGCGCCTAACATTTTGTTTGCTAGCTATACTACTGACATAATTGGTAGAAAATAGAGATAGGGCGCTGAATTTGTAATATATATCGACAAAATGGTTGTAATATGAATGAGCCATATGTTTTATAATAATCTAAATGAGAAGACAGCGGGGAGGAAAAATTAAGAACTCGTATGGAATTCAAACATCAAGGTAAATGAAAGTTATCGTTCTATGATATGGTCTATTACATATAATATAAAAAGTTCTAGAAGCCACTTACAAGCTTGCTATAAAGTATAAACAGCTACTCATCATGTAATTGAAGAAAAGTAGAAAACGATAAGGCAGAACTAACAAAGTAAGAAGTTTACACGACCACGGTCTATTTACAATAGCATATAAGATAATATAGTAAGTATTAGATTTTTTCTTAAAACCTATTGAAAATAAATTAAGTTATCTACTGAAGTTGCACTTCAAGAATTAATTGAGGCAGAGGATACGACGAGGTAAGGTCTGAAGTGCACAAAGATAGTTAAGTTCAGCATATGAAACTTGTCATTCTTGCATTAAAAACTTGAGTTAATTAGGATTATAATTTGAGGTTATTGTGTTAGGGCATATCATATGTTATAAATTTAGAAAATTCTCAAAACAATCTAACATTGGAAAAGAGAGATAACTTTACACAAGTTTTGCAAAGAATGTTTCAAAATTTGATTAAAGTTTGAAATATTATTTTTAAAAATGATAAACATAATTAAATAATTTTTTAAACCTAAATAAATTTAGTTTTTTATTTAGGTTTAAAAAATTACTATTTATTTTTTGTATACGAAACTGCAAGTTCAATGTTTTAAAGTGTAATGACTTTGTTTTAATCGAGAATCCTTTGATTTAATCGATAAAATAAAATTAATCAATTAAAATTATTATGAAAATATTTTCAAAATTGAAGTTCTTTTTTTTCTTTTTTTACTTATGTTTATTAATTTACTAATTTTTTTTATCTTATCAAACATATATGTTATTTTTTTATATTATATTTTCTTAATTAAATCATCAAAATTGGATTTTATTTTATACTTATTTGTATTCACTTTAATTTTATCTATTTTTGAAGTTGCAACGAAACAGAGTAAATACACTGGGGGGTAAAAGTTAAAAGTGGATCATTGGAGTGGCCCCCGCGTCCGCGTGTAGATGTGAGGATTCACCTACCACTTTAGGCGTTGCGTTAGGCCTCGGCAAATACAACATCTCAGAAGTCAGAACGGAACGGGAAACTTTACGTGGATAACAATTATTCCATTTCATTCCCACTCTTCCTTTTGCTATTGCTATTGCTATTTATGTGATTGTCAACCATAAAACCAGCCGCACGCACCTTGTTTTTCTTATCAACTTTCAATAAAACCCACTGAATCCAATCATTTCCTGAATGCTGAATCTACCCTCCTTCACTGCTCACCTATATTACAAGATTATTAAACTCAATCAATTAATATTTTTAAATGTTCACAACTCTGGTTATCATATTATAAACAGTAAAATATATTATTTCACATTTTAATTCAATGTTTTTAAGGAACTACGCACAAGCTTTCCTCTAGTATTGAAGCTAGCATAAAAACATGACGAATTAAATTTTATTTTTATTCCCCTCATTAATTTCTTTACATGAAAGAAAATCAACATTGTTAAGACATTGATTATTTTACAAATTTCGTGATACCGTGGTTTAACACAAATGATTTGAAATTCAATCCAAATTTATATTTTTTATTATACGAATTTGATATTTTCTACGACTATTAAAATTTTTAGCTGTTAGTTTTTAGTTAGAATGTCATTTTCTCCACCATTTTATTTATATTTCTTTTACAAATTCAGTTAATTGATAAATTTAAATTTTAAAGTAGTAACGAATTTGTGTATTAAAATGTATTTATCGTATATTTTTAATTAAATATTATCCTCGAAATAATAATTAGCAAAATTAGAAAAAGAAAGGGAAGGGGTTGAATTTATAATAAATTGTATATTTATACAAGGAAACCACAAAAATAAGCATTTATAATTAGGATAGCTTTTTTTTTTTTTCTTTTTCATCCCTGAATATCAAGGTCAATAACAGTGACTAATTTCCTCGCTACGTTAGAAGTATCTCAACGAGTAGGATAGCTGGCCCCAAGATTTAACGCGATTACATACACAAAATAAGATTCGAACTCCTGACATTGGTTGAGCGTAGATCAACCATATCTAATAAATTAATTCTTAGGATAGGCGAAAGGCAAAATGGTGTTTGGCATGGCCTTGATGATCCTTATGTGCAGCTTCTAAAAAATTGAAAAGTAAAAGGTCTCTTGCAAGAAAGATACCGTAAAGATTAAGAAGTAGCTAGGACAGGAGGACAAGCGATGAGCCGTTGATTTTTGCATTTATTGCCACGTGTTATCATCAAGAACGTACCTTAAAACCCCTTTAGAGTTGATTTCCCGTGGGCCCCACCATCGCTAAGCACAGACCAACCATTTGACAAAGACTGCGCGAGTAGGAAGAGATAATGCCTAAAACGGCGTCGTAGTAGCCCTTAACATCGCTTGTCGTGTCCATAACGGAGCAGAAAAAGGTTGTGTGAGAAAACCGACAGCATAGAGTAAAATGATAACGAAGACGAAAAATCTAGTGTCATCAACTTCTTCACTCTCTGATTCTATCGGCTTCATCTGCGAAATTTCTGACTAGGTTCGTTCACTCAACCAATCCTTCTGTCTTTTCTTCGTTTTGGTCTCACATGATTGCATCTTGTGTGATTAGTTCCGTTATATGGTCGCTGCTGTATTACATCTCTGTCTGCGCTTCTTTCACTGATTGTCATGTTCTGGGTGTTTCTAATTTGCGGTTTTTTTCTGTAAATTTTTCTGATTTCGTTTGGTGTTGACTGATTTATATGCTTGTTATGAATATGGATGGGTTTGTTTGAGGTTTGACCATGTTGATCTGTTTTGGTGAGTCTGTTAAATTGAAGCCCGTAGGGGCACTGAGATGCAAGAGGGTTTTCAGTTTCCGTGTTATCTTTTTTTTTTTTTCTGCCCCTTTCAACTTTGCATATGATTTGGTAAGTGAATGTAGAAAACCCGAAATATGAGACTGCAATGAAACATGTCCAATTGACAATTTTTTGCAACTGTGACACAAGTATTTGAGTTTTGTTATGTTATTTCTTTAGGGCTTTGATTAAAAGAATTCAGACGCAAACTAATCTTATTGATTAATTAACATGTGTCCAAAGAGCACCACCCCCATAGCAACACCATGTCTTTTCAGTTTTCTCATGAGGTGGGTTCCCAAACAATGACAATACCCTAAAAATTTAGCTTATCTTTCCCGTAACAAAGAAGAGTCACAGAGATTTTTACTTGCAAGAAAAGCCTTGTCCTGGATGAAATGATTGATTGTTCTTACTGCTTACTTTGCTTGTAAACAGCATCAATATAATGCGGGTAGTTGAATAGGTGGGAAATGGAAATGTATTTGTTTATGTCAAAGGCTATATTTGAATGATGAAGGTATATTACAAAAAGTTTATCTTGTCCAAATGCATTTCCATCTTCCCCCATCAAAACAAAGATAGCATTGGTGACAATCAAGAACAGATGCAGAAAGCAATTAAGGGGGGACGGTTAAAAAGTGAACATACTTTAACTACATAAATTATATTTTGTTCATTATAAGATTATAATTTTTTATAAAAAAAATTACAGTTTACATATATAATTCTTTAAAAGAAATTGAGGGGTGGGGGCATGCCCCTCCTTGGATATGTCTCTGGTGACTATCAGATCTCATAAGCTATGAATCTTATGAGCATGTTGCTAAAACATCATAGTGTTTGTTTGGACTTCAAAGGTCAGACTTCTAATATGCCTTGATATGGCTTTCTTGTTTTCTGCTTTGCACTAAAGTTTAATAGTGTATATATGGAGTAGTAGTACCAATCTTTTGCATTTGTTACATTTTCTGAGAGAGCATTAGTGGTCAACTGATTACGGGCTATTTTCTTTGTGCTTTTGTGTTTTCTACTAGGCCATGCATAAATCCCATTAAATAGATTCAGACTTTATAAACAACTAATAATTTTATTTCTCTTAGAGATGATGAAGAAAGAATAGATAAGTGATGGCAGGAGCAGAAGCGAGGGCTCTATGGCAGAGAACTGCTAATCGTTGCTTTGTCCAAGAAGATGCAAAAAGAGCTCCCAAGTTGGCTTGTTGCCAATCTTCATGTGCAACATCAAAATTGGTTGATGCTGGACCTGCCAGTACAGCAGATGAATCTGATCATACTGCAGTTAATGTCGCACATTTTAACAGGAAACCATCAGTTTCTAATCTACCACCAGACTCTAGGTATTGGTTGCATTTGCAATCTAATTATGGGTATCAAAAGGGTTTAACATATGAACAATTAAAAGCATTAGAGGATGAGGTAGAAACCTTGATAGCTAGTGATGTAAGTAAGAATTCTCAAGAATTTCAAGAGTTGATTAATGTGATGGCAAAACATGAGAAAATGGACATTGATTGTGTTGGCTGCTCTGAATCCTCCAAGAAAACAAATGATTTTTCCTTGGAATCAGATTATTCTTGGATTGAAAGTGATAAGGCAGAGCCATGGTGGCGGACTACAGATAGAGATGAATTAGCTTCATTTGTTTCACAGAAATCACTCAACCATATTGAAAATTGTGATCTTCCCCCACCACAGAAGAAGCATCTTAGAGGACACCCATGTGCTCTTATTAATAATGATAAAATAAAGACGGCATCTTATGACTGGGAAGCCAAATCCAGAAGCTTTTCCAAAATGACAGCTCATGCACAAGGAAGTTTTGATTCAGGATTGATGCATAAGAATCAGGGGCCTTCTGCCAATGAAGGCCTTTTATTTTTTGCTTCCGACAAATGTTCAAGGTATTTTTGCTATTAATGTCAGATGATTGCATTTGTGCTTTAAGTGGGTAAACTTACACTCAAAATCTTTGGCCAAAATAAGTTGATAGTTAGAGAAAAATGATATGTTCCACCATAAATGTGATTCTGTGCAAGGTTTTGGCTTCTCATAGCTTTTCTCCAAGCTTTCGTGCATGCTAGTATTTTTTTTTTTCCCTTTCTTCAAGTAGGTAGAACTGATGTAGACTTTGTGCTTTTGATCTGCTTAATATTTGTTTGGGAATGCAACTTTGTTGCAGTCGTACCCCCAAGCATGAGGATGTCCAAAAGAGTCATCAAATTTTGGATGGAGACCCCAGCAAGGCTCAACTAATGGAAGCACTGTGTCACTCTCAAACACGTGCAAGGGAAGCAGAGGAAGCAGCCAAAAAAGCATACGCAGAGAAAGAGCATATTGTAACTCTCATTTTTAAACAGGCTTCACAACTTTTTGCCTATAAGCAATGGTTACAACTGCTGCAGCTGGAAACTCTCTGCAGTCAGATTAAGAACAAGGATCAGCCAATATCTACTCTCTTTCCAGTGGCTCTTCCTTGGATGTCCCACGAAGCTAGATCACGGAAGAGGAAACAGAAAATATCCAATGCCAAACTAGAAGAAGGGAAACCCAATCCAAAATGTGATATTACAACATATGCTGTTGCGATTGCTTTAGGATTCAGTCTTGTTGGGGCTGGCTTGCTTTTGGGATGGACAGTGGGTTGGATGTTGCCTCGTTCATAGTTCTATAAAATTTGGATAATAGTTGTGCTTGTCATAAAGATTGGTGAACAAAGGGAATTGGTTAACAGGGAAAGTAGCCCCAATTATTTTATCAGATATGTATGTATTTTTGTAGATTTGCTAGTGCATCTTGTATTGTAAATTCTAAGTTGTGCTTTTGTATTGAATTTTTTTTGTTAATGAGATTATGTACATAAATGTTTTGTGTAGATGATGCGAAACTATTTTTCTTTAAATTTATGCCGGGAAATATAAGATTCCAAGCTACAAACTGCCAAAAACTTTATTTCAGTGACTAACTACTCTAATAAAAATGTTGGGGATGACTCTTTGTTGAGGAGAAAGGGCAGCAATATGATCTGTGTTGGAACTATTGTAGCCGTGAAGTTTGATGTATTCTGTATCCAAAGGTTGAACTTGTATGTCAATATTTTGTTTTATGCGTTTACTCTTATTTATATGGATCGTACCGATATTAGACTAACATATTATGAGCAGTCAAGTCAATAATGGGCGGCATCAACAATTTTATTATTTTAGATTAACAAAAAAATATGGCTATGAATGCTTCTATCAGACTGTCTTATTCTTATTAATTCAATTGTATTTTTAGTTTCTTTAGTTTGAATTATGTGGAATTCTGACTTTCAAGTTTTTTTTTGGAGCAAATTTTTTATTTCTATTTTTTAAAATTAAGTAAAAACGTTTCAGTTAGTTTTTTCTTTTCTGTTTAAGTACTTATGATTTATAATTCTTATGCTTCTACTTTCTACTCAATTTTGATATATTAATTTGGTTGAATTTTTTTAAATATTTCTCATCTCGTTGTTTAAACAATATATCAAATAGCTTTCGGAATAAACAAAAATTTCAAACTTTCTTTTATTTGCGTTCTTTAACACCATTCAATATTTATCATGTTTAACTAATTAGTATTTTAGTCAATGTAATAAATTGGTTAAATAATTATTAAATGTAACTAAAATTTATAATAAATTATATATAAATATAAATATTATGTTTGAATATATAAATTATGTTTAAAACTTATATAAATAAATATTTTTAAACATATAAATTATATGTTAAATTTATGATAAATAATTCATATTGTAACATAATATTATTTTTATTTATTAATAATTAATTTTAAAAAATATTAAAATTTTATTTATAAATAGTTATGATAAATAAAAATTAAATTTAAAAAAAAGTTAAAAATATCTCTAAAAATCTCTTGTCGAAGAAAAATATCTAAAAACACTCTCCTAAAATAGAAGTTTGTGTTTAATATATATGAGTTGATTTTATAATTTATAATCATTTAAAATTAATTCTTATCGTAAATTCACCACAAATCATCATAAACATTTAAGTATCAACTCTTATATCAACTCCTATATATTGAATACAAACCTTTATATTGAATTAAGATATTTTTAGAAATTTTTCTTCAATGAGAGAGTTTGTAGAAATATTTTAAACTTTGTATCTAATTCAAATTTTATTTATCATAATTATATATGTATTAAATATTAATATTTTAAACAAATTATCAATCAATAAATAAAAAATTGTTACAATGCAAATTATTTATCATAAACCTAAAATATGATTTATATGCTCAAAATATTTATGTACAGTAATTTTAAATATAATTTATATATTCAAATATAATATATATATATATATATGTATATAATTTATTATAAATTTAATTATATATAATAAATGTATTTATATATTATACAAACTAAAATAATAATTTATATATTAAATATGAATCGCTATTCTACACAAAAGTATTTTGAATTTTTTTTAATGAATTTGTAAAAAGAAAATTAACTTCTTACCTAATTTATTTTTTATTTATCATTTTTATTTATGAATTAAGTATTAATTTTTTAAGAAATAAATAAAATAAATTTTTGATACCATATAAATTATTTATCATAAATCTAAAATAAAATTTATATATTTAAAAATAATATTCATAAAAAATTTAAATATAATTCATATATTCAAATATAATATTTATTTATATATAATTTATTATATATAATAAACATATTTTTCTATTACACTTGCTAAAATATTGATTTAAATATAAAGTAATAATCGAGGGTTTTAAGTAGAAAATAACTAAAAATAGGACTAAATTTGCATAAATTTATAAATATATGAACATAATTGGCTCAAAGATAATTTGGGAACCAAATAACCGAAATCTGTATGACAATTGATAAAATATAAAAGGATTAATAATAAATTAAACCTTATAAGCATAAGCCTACATACTTTACTTTATATAATGTGTGGCTCAGTTTGGGTCAGCTGCGGGCTATTGGTGTGGCTACCATTGACACCAGCCCACTAGCCTGATCAAAAGTTGATTTATGATATATACACCTCTTTTTTTCTATAACTACATCTTTTTAAAATAATTAAAATTTAAAATATTCTTAATTTTTTTAATTTTTTAATTTTACATTCATAATATTTAATTGATTTTTTTTCATATATTTTCTCTCTTTTTTTCAATTTTTACATGCACCCTCTTACCTTTCTTTCACCTCACCTATTTTGATAGCATGTGAAAACTAAAAGAGAAAAAAAGTATGTGAAAAAAAAGAAGAAAATTAAAAATTAAAAATTAAAAATATAAAATTAGAATTTTTTTGAAAAAAAAACAATAATATTTCATAATTTTTAAAAAAAAAATAAAGAAGGTTTACTTATTAAAAAAAAGAGGTGTATATATCATGAGTCTCAAAAGTTTATGTAGAATTTTGCAGCATAAATGGGCCGACGTTGTTGGGCCAGCAATGTAAAATTGAGAGAGCAGAAAAATAAAAATAAAAATAGATAAGAAGATACGAAAAATTGAGGCATTCACAAAATCGAAAGTAAGGTAGCGGAAGCTAGAAAGGAAATTCCAAATCGAAATCGAAAATGGCAGTGATGGAGAAGTTGAAGATGTTCGTTGTTCAAGAGCCTGTTGTCGCTGCTTCCTGTCTCATCGCTGGCTTTGGTATTCTCAAAACCCTAATCTCTACCTTCGCCTTTTCGCCAATAATTCCATGTGCTCATTGATTTAGCTTTCTCTCTGCAATCGTTTATTGGGATTCATTTTAGTGCGATTGCTGGAATGCTGCAATCGATTTACAGAAAATTATAGTATTTCGAAGGTTGGGAAATAGATTTTAACGTAGATTCGATTTTGTCAGATTCCCCTGACATTCTTCATGTCCATTGTTGACTACATGAATGTCACTTACATCTAGAAAATTGTATCAGTGTCACTTACATTTATGATTGAATATTCTATGCTTTTATTTGATAAGATTGTCTGAAACTTGGCATGAATCACTTGAATCCCAATCAAGAAAATTATATTTCTTGTTCTATCCTGATGTTTGTGCACCTTACAACCTGAATTTGAATTAGTCTTTATATATATTTTTTGTAAAATTAGGGTTGAAAGTAAAAGCACAGAATTCTCTCGTTCCTTTCCCTCAGTTCCCCTCTTTTGTTCATTAGGAAGGGAAGAATCTAGTAAGAGGTTTGCCTCTCTGGTTTTAAATTTTCCTTTGATTAACTATTGTTCTTGATGACAAGTATATACTGTGTCACGAATCTACTCAAAATTGGATTTAGCATAAAATTGAACATATTTCTCTTTGAATATAGTCATTTTCTACTGACAGGCTATTCACTTATTATGCTGTGTAATCCTCCTCAGGTCTATTTCTTCCGGCTTTTGTTAGGCCCATGTTGGATTCATATCAGGCAACCAAGCAACCTCCTCAACCTGCTTTAAGCGATGTGAGTGTTGCTTTTGACACTAACCTTGTGACAGTGTTTTCAAACCCCAGCAGTTGTATCAATATATAAAATATATTGTTTCATCACTAGTAATAACATTCTTCATACTAAAATTCGTCTTGGTGGTGCAATGGCCTCAAATCTAAAGGTCTAGAGTCTAGACTCCTGAATAGTCTTCCATTTTTTCCAATGTTAGTAGAGAGTACTCCGTCCCCATCTTTCTTTACAACGTATAATTAGAGCTTTTAAAGAAAAATTGCTTTGAAACAAACGAGTTTCAGCATCAGAGTCGGAGTGTATGCAGCTGGGTTTTGAAAACCATCCCTCGCTTTCAGTTTCATCCACTCATACAGCTTGAGACACCTTTAAAACCCCTAAATAGATGTTAACCTGCCGTAGTAGCAAAAATTGTTTGTTTTGAAGGGTTATTGGAGCACCTCCAATGGGAGTTACCTATAGGGTTCTTAAACTTAAGAATAAGTTCTTATGAAGAAGCTTTACTATTAAAGTGATTGACACGACACTAATATATAAGAACTGTTGCTTATATAAATAACCGTTCTTAACATTTCTTAAGAATTGCAAGACAATTGCTGGATTCATGTTAAGTTCTTATGGATTGCACTATTAGAGAGAAAACAAGTTAAATGTTTTTAAAATACCATTTAACATTACAAGGCTCACTGAGTTAAGAATCTTCACCATAGTTTCGAAGATGCTCTAATGTGCTTTTTGCCCACATTTATCGTTTCCTGATATTGGTGTCTAAAGTCTTGATCATTGCAGGTGGTTGCAGGTATGACTGGTAAAAAATAAAAGGTGATTACTTGAGAGATACAAAGTGCAAATTTGCCAACTTCCTTGTATGAACTTATTTTAATTCTCAACGTAAGAGAAATAAGAGTACGGAATATCAGATTTAGCTTCCCTTTCTGACGATCTCTATCTGTTCTGGAATCATTCAGTGATTTCATTTTAATTTAGTTTGAGTTGGGTTGAATGCCAGTTCATCTGCCGCTTGATTAATTCTGCCTGTACTAGCAAATACGATTTCTGCAATTGTTTCTATGGGTCAATGTGAAGGATTTTTGGATAAGTAAATTTGAACACAATGCTGATGTTGTTGTTTGATATTTGAGCTTGTTGGCATTTAAACATTAAGAACACTAAAATTTTGATGAGGTTTAGGCGGTCCTCTTCTTGAATACTGAAAACTTAAGGATCTACTCCCACCCTAAAAAAGTAAAAATATTTCAAGTATTGCAAATGAGTTTATATTTTATTTGTTAAATTATTCAGTTGGTTTCTACATGATTTGGGAATTTGAACAAAGGTCTCTTAAGTTAAATTTTTTTTTATTTGGGTCTTTCTTCATGTAGTATTTTTAAACGAGTCTTTAAAGTTCTAAAAATAATCATAAAACTGTTTATTTTGTCGGTTTTAAGCCTCTAGAACTAAATTCCAGAGATATATGAGCTAATAATTAGACAAATGTTTACTGTATCACTTATACGCAAGGGTATTTGATGCCTTTTAAGTAATGTTATCTAAAATACAAACAATTTAATTAAATAAAGAGTTAATCACCTATATACTGTCAGTGTAAAATTTTTTACACTGGCAACTAATTATATCTTTTAAAGTTGCTTATTTTATTATTATTTCATTAAATAAGCAACTGACATGACACTATTAGAAGATATGATTGATTGTTAGTGTAAAAAATTTTACACTGGCATTGTATAGGTGATTAACTCTTAAATAAATATGTAATTATAGTATATCTTCTATATAACTAAATTAACTAATCTTTTACTAATAATATATAAATAATTAATTGGTTATTACAAAAGTTTAGTTTAATTTACCATTTTATTAAGATGATGTTTATATATACAAACTAGAATACCGCCACCCTAACAACTAAGTATGGTTTTTCTTATGGAGACAAAAACCAAGATTGTAAAAGAAGAAAAAGATTTCCTCATGCGTGAGAATTTGTAATAATATGTAACTAAATATATTTTATAAGAGGCAGTCTTATTTAAATATGACATGATCATTATGAGTCCAGACATAATTACTTTTTTATTTTTCACCTAATTTTCTTTTTTAATGACATTAATACTTGTCAACCATATGACATTGTTAAGAGACCAATTATATTTCATGGTGGTAAAATATCAAATGTTAAAAGCACAAAAAGATGAACAAGAAAAAGTAAGAATAACAAAATAAATATTGAAATAAATATAGTCACAAAACAATTATATACAAAAAGTGCTAATAACGCGAAGGTCGCAGGTTCGAGACCTGCATGGGCCATTTGTTCTTCATATTTGCTTGGCAAAAAAAAACAATTATATACAAAAATGATATAATACTAATTGGGAAAAAAAAACAATTTTCAACCAGTAAACCGGTTTAAAACTAACTGAAAATACATGACAATCGTATTTTAAAATAATTTAGACATCTGTAAAAAGGTTAAAAAAATCAATATTTTTAAAACTAAACTTGTCATTCAAACGGTTTTTCTAGTGCTTAAACTATGATTGGACCAATATTAATAAAACAATAATAATATTAAATAATACAAAATAATATTAAAAAATAACATTATAACTTTTTAATAATAAAAACTTAACATTAACTTTATATTTAGAATAATAAATAAAATGATATAGTTTAAGGTGATGCTTTTAAGTAATATTAAATAATATTGTATTAAAAAAATTATTGACCTGCACCAATTTTTTATTAGCTCTTGACTAGTTTTTCGTTAGACTAATTTTGTAATTTACTTAAAACGATCGGATGACCAGTTCACCAATTTTTCAATCTATTCGAATGATTTAGTTCATCACAAAACCATAAAGAATATAAAGTTGAATAAACGAGAGAAGAAATGAGAGAAAATGCAACCTCATTCTTATCTTCATTATCGAAAAATATCCCATATAAATACAAGGGAAGGAGAAGAAAGAGAAGGTGCATGGTCTGCTAACAGAAAGGCAAAAGATAAAAAAGCAAAACGGAAAAGATTTGATACAATGATGCTAACAGAAAAGCGAATGAAACAAAAATAACAGAAAAACTATGAGCTGCATGGGTTGCGGACTGCATGTATGGGCTGCATGAAAAATCTACTCATTGTCATCACGTAGCTCACTGGATGTGTACGTATTTGAGTTGTAAGAGCCCCCCTCAAGCTGAGAATGGATATTAGACATTCCCAGCTTGCCATAACAGTTTTTGAAAACATGAGGATGAAGCGCTTTTGTAAGAATATCTGCAAGTTGCAACAAAGAAGATATAGGAAGTAGCTTAAGAACACCAAGATTAATCTTTCCACGAACAACATGGCAATCTATCTCGATATGCTTTGTTCTCTCATGGAAGACTTGATTATGAGCAATCTAGACAGCGGAATCATTATCACAAAAGAGCAAAGCAGGTTTCTCATAAGGGATTCGAAGATCGTCAAGAAGGAAAGAAAGCCATTGTATTTCACATGTAACTGAGGCAAGAGCTCGGTATTCAGCTTCAGATGAACTCCTTGAAACCGTAGCTTGCTTCTTTGACTTCCACGAAATTAAAGAGTCACCAAGGTAGACAGAGTATCCTGTCACTGAACGACGAGTTTCCAAGCAACCTGCCCAATCCGAATCACTGAAACCTTTTAATTGCAATGAGCTTGAAGAGGGAAGAAATATGCCAGCACCAAGGGATTATTTCAGGTATCTAAGAACCCGAAAAATAGCTCTGTAGTGAATATCGGTATGATATTGCTGTGCTGTGAGATGAAAATCCTGTTTCTCACCTTTCTGTTCATTTTGAGCAGTGACCCTTCTTCCCTCATCAGTCATGGTGTTGTTAACATTGGAGTTGCTATTTTTAGCTTGCGTTTTGAAACCAGGAGGAAAACCATGCTTTCTATAGCATGAGTCAACTGTATGTCCACTTCTTCCACAATGAGAGCAAGTTTTGCTCCCTTTTCCAAATGAAGGTTTGTTTTCCTTAGAATCAGGGAAACCATGTTTTCTAAAACATACATTCTCATTGTGCCCAACCTTCCCACAAAACGTACATGATGCAGTATTGGCATTACTAGCAAAAATCTTCCCCTGCAGTTGTCTCTCCTGTTGGACCACGTAAGAGAAGATCTTAGTGATATGAGGAAGAGGCTCCATGAGCAATATATGTGATTGTACATTGTTGTATTGATCGTTTAAGCCGCGAAGGAACTGCATGGCTTGGTCTTCAATCCTTCGTTGAGTAATATTGGGAAGCACATCACAGGAACATTTGTTCAAACACTTGCACATCAACTCGGGTCTATAATTGTCCAACTCGTCCCATATTATACGAAGCTTAGTGAAGTATTCAGTGACTGAAAGGTCTCCTTGTTTGATGGATGAAGCCTCACGTTGTAGTTCAGAAACACGAAGAAGATCTCCCTGTGCATAACGTGACTTCAAATCGCGCCATATATCCTCAGCTTTGTTCATCCAGACAATGCTCTGCCGAATGGGAAGAGAGACGGGGTTAACAATCCATGATGCAACCATGTTGTTGCATCTTCTCCAAGCACTGTGATACCTATCATCAATGGCTGGTTCTGGAGCACTTCCGTCAATGAACTCCAGTTTGTTTTTGGCACTAAGAGTTGTTTCCATGGACTTGCTCCATGTATGGTAATTATTAAGTTCGAGAACAGGGGAAACAAGAGAAGTGGCAGGATTTTTGCTGGGATGAAGATACAAATAACTATGTATATTGGCTAAATATTCCGCTCCTTCACTCATGATTGAGGAGACGGAAGTCATGAAGAAAAAATAACGAACGAGTAGCGCAATAGAACTCTTCAATGGAAGAGCTCTGATACCATCACAAAACCAGAAAGAATATACAGCTGAATAAACGAAAGAAGAAATGAGAGAAAACGCAACCTCATTCTTATCTTCATTATTGAAAAATATCCCATATAAATACAAGGGAAGGAGAAGAAAGAGAAGGTGCATGGTCTGCTAACACAAAGGCAAAAGATAAAAAAGCAAAACGGAAAAGATTCGATACAATGATGCTAACAGAAAAGCGAATGAAACAAAAATAACAGAAAAACTATGAGCTGCATGGGCTGCGGACTGCATGTATGGGCTGCATGAAAAATCTACTCATTATCATCACGTAGCTCACTGGATGTGTACGTATTTGAGTTGTAAGAGTTCATTTTTCAAAATATAACAAAAAAAAAATAGTAAAAGTAAATCCCACAAATTTCTAAGAAAGACCAAGACATTAAGAAAACTTATTTAAACAACTGAAACTTAACATTTTTCTTTTAATAATTTGTTATATTATGAATTGTAGTTATTAATTGAATTTAAAATTTAAAATATATATTTAACTTACGCTTATTAATATTCTCTTTTCTAATATGTAATTCACATTCTCCATCTATTTATGTTGCCAATAAAGTATTTAAATACAAAAAATGAGAAAGTTAAATGTATGTTGGATCTTTAACTCTCAAATTTCTCTATCATTTCTTATTTTTCTCTTTCAAAATATATATATATATATATATATATATATATATATATATATATATATCAATTATGAATTAACTAGAGTTACCTCTGTAAAACTCCTTTTCATTATAAGTGAAACTATCTTTATTATTTTAGATTTTTATTTATATTTCATTATATATTATTTGAGTAAAAATTTATGTTAAAAAAGAAAATATGATATATTATTGATTTTGAAGGAGTTTAGTGGGAAATGGTTGTTTGTTGTGTTGTCCATGCGTAATGGGATGTTATTAACTTTTAACATTGTGAGTTGTCATTACTTAAAATCTGCAACGAAGTATTAAATGATTTTTAAATTTTTTAAAAATTTACAGATTTGATCTATGCATTAAGAACTTGAAATTGAACGGTTGGATCATTAAAATTTAATATAAAATATGAGTTACTAAACAGAATAAGTCTAGGTATTACTCCGGAGTAAAAAGATCTCTCTCTCATGCGTCGCACAAGTCTAGGAACCAATATTTATAAATTTTTGTGTTGAATATAGAGTATTATTGCATGGCCGACTACATGAATCTAATCACTGAAAATTTTATTTTTTAATTAAACTCAGTGGCATCAAATAATAAAAATAAATATTTAATTATACTTTTTTATCACTTATATTTTATAGTTTTATAAACTTTATCATTAATTTTTAAAATTATATATATTACTACTTAATTTATAAAAATTTGCATATTAATATTTTAATTAATCACTTAAATCAATTAATTAATTGTTAACGTAACATTTCAATAAATAATAGTACATATTAATTATTAATGTAATAGGTTAATTGTTAACTTAACATGTTAATTGTTTATTTATTTATTTATTTTTGAAAAGATAAAATTTCATTAAGTAAAAATTCTTTTAATCATAAGACGTGATCAAGAGAGTTTTCAATATTATCGGTTTAGATTAAAGTACTTATAATACAAGACCAAAAGTAAAATAGATAATAAAAAAAAATCACACCCCAAATTTTATAAATAGATGAATCACTAAAAATTAATTATTTATGTTAACTATACGTATGACATTATATTTTATAATACCACACTATCCATTAATTTGATGCATCAACAATTAATATATCAGTAGATATGAAATTATGAATGATATTATTTTGACAAACTATTACGGTCTGTTTGGTATAGATAAATTGTGAAGAAAGGACAAAGAGGGGAGGGGGAGAGTGTGGAAGAGAGAAAATCTTGTGTTTGATGTAAGTGATTAAAGGAGAGAGTATGAAATTGGTGGTTTTAATAATTTTTTAAACACATGCTTAAATGAGTGGATTGGAAGGAAATAGTAAATTTTTATATTTGAACCCTGTAGACATAACGATCAATAGTATACGTGATATAATTATTAATAACGATAATCGATTATGTTTATTACATGATTGATTATGAAAATCAAATTTTAAGTTATAGTTATTTTCTATATTTATATAATCAATTACATAGTAAATATAATTGAATATGTGGACTCTTAAATATATATAATTAATTATGATTATCATCGATTATATGAACTTGTTTAATTAAAAATTATTAAAATAATAAACTTAATTATGAAGACATATATAAAAGTTAATTTATAATATCATTTTATTTTTTTATTTAATCAAATATAATATAATAAAAATTAACCTTTTCTTGGATTCTCTTTTACTTACTTTTATGATTTATCCAACAACTTAAACTTGGATTTTATTTGTTACTTTTCTTCCCTTTTCTTTTTCTCACCTATTCATTTTGTTTGTTTCCGCTACGAAAGAAAGTTACCGACAATCCATTTGCGATGTGTGTGGGCCGAGGCATAAGACAGAGACTAGGTGTGACTGTAACAATAACATCATGTCAACTTCAATTAATTAAGCAGTAAGCAATGCATGAACATGAACTACATATCATGTACAACTTTCACGGGATAAATTAGGATGTCACAAAGTAAACATGGTACAGATAGCTTGGCGATAATAATTTATTTTTCACCAGACGACGGTGCCCAGAAAAATAAAATTAGAGGCTAATGCCACTCCCATCTTGCTTCAGTTTTTTACTCTTCCAAGGAACCACCTGCTTGAAGCCATCACAAATACTCGTCTGCAGAAAAAAAAAAATTTAAAGACATAAGGGCAAAATTAGAGAGGTTGAGGGAGGTTTTTAACACCGGAAGACATAATTGAGTAAATCACACAAATCAAGTTGATATCCTATCATAACCTAAAATATTAAATAAATAATTTTCCAAGGATGTAGACTAAATAATAATAATAATAAATAAAAAAAAGTAGTGTGCTAGATTAGGCAAAGAATAGAGGTACCCAGAAGCAGAAGGGAGTGTTGGTATGGTAGAGGGTGGAAGAAGGGTTGATGTGTCTTTTGTTGAGTTTGAAGATGTTTTTGGTCCAAGAAGCAAAGGAGGCAGCCCCTGGTGGTTTGGTTTGAGAGGCGTAGCAGTTGGAAGTCATTTTGAAGAGCAACCTGGGAGGGAGTTCCAAGGACTTAGGGGGGTTAACGTTGGAGAAGGAAATGAGGGCACTGCATGGCCATGGCTTTCCTGGCTCTTCTTCCCAACGAAATGGAACTGAAGCTGAGCTGTGAAGTGGGGATCTCTCATTTTCTATGCTCTTCTGCTCCTCTCTCTCTATTCTCATTCTTATTCTTCACTCTTCACTCTCCACTCTCCACTCTCTCGCGCTGCACCCTTATACCCTTAAGCCCTTCTCTACAATCTTATCTATAAATAGCTTATTTTCACGTATAGCTTAGGATGCCAAATTGGGATGTAAATTATGAACAACTTCTTTTTCTTTCAGACATGAGGGATAATATTATGTTTTCTGTATTTTTGAGAGACAAAATTCGATTTGACAACTTAATTAAGCAACCTCATTCTTGTCACTTATATCAACTCAAACTAATATTAATTGGGTTTAAAATTGCCTTTAATAATATGAAAAAATTTAGATAACTTTTTTTTGTTGAATAAGTTTTCTTACAATTAATTTCCTTATAAAAGAAATGCTTTCAAACATAGAGTACTTCCCTTTAAAATTAATTTTACAAAATTAGGATTTACGCTCAATAATACAAAATCATATTAATTGGGTCAAATTCACAATCCTCTAAACATACACTCAAATTATAAATAATAAAACATATTTAAAGCAAAATATTTCATATTGACATGATAGCCGACAGAGGAAGGAAGAAAACAAAATGGAGACTGTAGCATGAAAAGACAATGACATTCACACCTCACTTTTCACCTTCTTTTTTCCCCCCAAATCCCTGGTGCTAAGCTAACCTAATCTAATATGTATAATCATTATGGCCACCACCGTCACGAGTCATAAGTCAACAACCATGCAAAGGCAAACATATGTAATTATCGTCACAACTCACACAAGTACTCTCTTGAAAAAACTCCCCATTGTATTAACTTCTTTTTTATCTATATATATATATATATATATATATATATATATATATCATACG